AGACAAAAAGTTTACTGGGAAATTTAATGAAATGGATCAAAAGTTTACAAGGCAAATTAATGAAATAGACAAAAAGTTTACTGGGAAATTTAATGAAATGGATCAAAAGTTTACTGGAAAATTTGATGAAATGGATCAAAAGTTTACTGGAGTGGAAAAGCTCATTGTGAGTGAACGGAACAGGTCTAAGAATAAACTATTGGCAGATGGAGGTGATTTGTACTCGCCAAATGCTTATCTACCTATTTTTAATGATTGTGGAGAAAGCCCCGGTGATAGAGGCCTTGAACCATTAACATCGCTAACTCAAATTGATAGGATGAATGGAATATTGATTGATAATTATTTGACTTTTTATCAAATAGGTACCAGTCGTCTAGTTTCGGAAAAAAAAGCTAGGCTAATGGAATATATTGGAATTCATGAAAGGGTTGTTGTGAATTCAGTACGTGGTATGTCGCCTGTCTGAAAAAGGTATTTTATCTGCCATATCTTATCAGTGATCTATGGATGCTGTGATTATTTAATTTATATTGAATACTTATATAAGACCCATATATCATAGTCAAAGCGATATCCATGTAGACAGGAACTTTCAGGTACAATCATGCGTCTTCCAATCTTCCAATATGTGGCTCAAATAATATTTGTGTATGCTTCTATATTAGTTTATTCAGCATTAACTGTTTTAGATGGAATTTTTGATAATGAAAATATTAATGGTAAATAGCATTAAACCAATTAATTTGAATTATGCTAATATAACACCAGTAAATTTATTCTGCAAGTTGCAAAATCATTCCCCTAGCTTGTGTATCTCATTCGATTAGTATCGAGCCCTCTTTATTATTTCATATATAAGAAATTGTATAAATACAGACGTCTGTCTTGATTCTAGTGTAAATAATACAACGTTTTATTATTTTACTATAAATTTATCAAAAATTTATTTATATATTATATAGATTATCAAAATCAATATCTGTGTCGAATCTTATTTTTGAATCCTTTCCATCAATGTTTGATCCGAAATGAACATTTTTATCTAAATCTAATAATGGCAGTCCATAATTATGTGTATCTTGTTGCTTCTGCTGATTTCGAAATTCTCGACGCTGATCATATAACTGGGTATCATTTGATTGTTGCTGATATTGCACTTGTAAAGCTGCAAGATTTGAAGAGCTCAATGTTGGAAGTAATGATGTTGGAGATAATCCAATACCCATAGTCATTTGTGTATACGGCGAGAATAACTTATTAGTCGCCATGTTAGAATGAGGTAGAGTATTAACAACATCGCTAATATTACTGGTATCATTATCATTACCATTATCATTACTACTGTTAGACGATGCTACTCTAGAAGAAGCATCATCATCAACTTCTGTTATATAAGCTGTGGGAAATTTAGCGATGGCTTTGTCACTTATAATTGTATCGATCTTGTTATATAGATCGACGGGTAATAGAATATCTTTCTTAAATTTACCCACCAATTGAAATATTGCCCCCAATGCATCATAAGAATTATAAGTATCATATTTATATACTGCAGACTCTGAGACTGAATCTGCTAATGCATTGGCTATTTCTAAAAGCTTAACACACACACCTGATCCATTAGACTCAAATGCAAACAGAGATAAATTTTCAGTTGACTTTAAGAATTCTTTAGCAATATGTAATGGGAATTGAGGATTCAAACAGTGATATTCATCAGAGTCTCTAATTAAAAGTTCATTTTGATTAGCTATGTGCCAGCCTAAAGCCCTCATCCAATGCTGCGATAATATAATATTCAATTTTTGGGTATCTGGAATTAGTGGTGAGATTGTCACATTTTGCAAATTGTTCTGTACATTTACTATCCAATTTTGAGTTGGTGGGTTGCTTAATTGGAACAAAGATTTTTGGAATAGCTTTAGATTTGACGAATTTGAGTTCTCCTCTGCTAACTTGTCAAAGAAGGATTTATCCGGAATGGAGAATATTCGAACTAGTTCGGTAAAACCACTAAGGATTTCTGGATATTCTTCGTCCTCCAATGCAGGAAATGGAATAGATGGAGTAAGTAAAACTGGGATATTTTCCTCAATACATAAAAATCTTTCTGTTATCATCAACAAGTAGTAGATCTTCTTCATTCTATGGACAGATGCTGGAGTTTGATTGAAGTATGTTTTAGGGTTATGAAGTCCTAGAATTTGAGCAAAAGTTAATGTCTCCCTCAAATATGTAATAGCGACAGATTTATGTCCACTGACATTTACGAAGTAATCATAAAGAAAGAAGGACGATAGAAGTATATCTATGGTGGGGTTAAGCCTGTAATTTATACGTGCACGGAACCTCATAGCTTCATCTGCAAATTCTTTGGCTTCGATTCCAGTAGGCATGTCTCTAACATGAAGAGTATCGGATAAAAACGTGAGTTGCATAGCAATATCAGCACATACTGAACATGCCAATACATATGCTGTGTCACTCTCTAGATTCAGTTGAGGATCTTCTTCACCCTCTTTTTGAACGATCTTAACCACAATGTGTGCAACTGACAAGACCGGCCATACTCCATAATACCAAGTCTGATAAAACTGAAGGTATGGTAACAATCTATCTACCGTGAATATTTTATCATTTGGTGTTTTGAAAACCGTGGTGTGAAATATAGGATCAGCTTTACCATTCTCCATATTCAATCTTTGAATTGTCTCTTTTGTCTTTTTATGAATTTGTTTCGGGCCACATTTTTTCTTGACTCTGATGTTGGTACAAGAAACATTGTGCTTTATACATTGAGAACAAGGTTTCTGACGGTTGCAGCGTACTTTCCTTAAGGCACACCCATCGCAAGGACGTAAATGCATTTCACTGAAACATGAAATTCCCAAGTCTTCTTCTAGTGAGTTTGGTTTGGGTGAAGTCATCCTAGGGATCCGTATATGGCTTTTAGTGACCACTCTATGACTAATTTATGGAGTATTATTTTGATTCCGATGTGGGGGATTTGTGTAATAAACTTAAGCCCCCAAAAAAATCCGAACTAAACAGCTTATCTCTTCTGTTGTAGACTATAGCTTTTCAGCAGAGCATTTATAGACCAAAATAGAATGGAGTACACTGAAGGTCGCATTATTATAGAGATATAATCATTTAGAGCATAGAAACTTAAGACTTTTGTATATTATTTCCTGGAGAAATTTGTTGATGATCAAAATCGCTTATTAAATTTTCAGAATGTTTTCCACGTTAGATGCAAGTTCATTTAGCGAATTAAATAATATTAAAGCAGATAATACGGCAAGCAAGGATCATGTGAAGCATAGACAAATTCAAATGAAGAGTTTTGTCGATGGATCCAATGTCAGATCGAAAACTGGATGCGTATGCTGTCGTCGAAGAAAGTAAGTACATGTTTGATGCTAGACATACTAAGAGGGCTTTACTAACTATTCAAGGAAAAAATGTGATGAAGTACATCCTATATGCGGATCTTGTAAATTGAGAGGAGAAGAATGTTCTTGGTTAATTAAGAAATATGAGTCGGTGAACTATGAAAAGAAAGTGAAGAAGATGAGCAGAGCTTCGAGAAGAACGATTCCAGAGGTTGAAGCCAATACTATTCTTGAGCCAAAAAAAGATGATGTGATAGACATTGTGAGTACAACGAACATTCCACTACTGGCAGACACAAATTTGTCACCGTTTTTCAAAGCTGTACTAGGTCCAACTGAAGAATTAAGCCCAATACGGCTAGGTGAAGTTGAAGATGTACCTAGCAGTGTAATGTCATATAACGAGACGAATGATTTTGGCTTTTCCGAATTTTCGAATATACTACTTACTCCTTCATCCACATTTAGTTTGTATTTGGATGAACCAGGGTTACGTCTTTTGAACTTCTTTGAGAATAAGGTAGCAAAAATCTTATGTATAAGTCCCGAATCTTCCAATTATTTTTTGAAGACCTTTTTTTCAGTAGCAATGACTGAAGAAAGTATAATGCATGCATTGGCAGCATGGGGAGGAGTGTTTTCAGAAGGCCCATCTAGTGAATTGGTCAACTATCATATGTCGCAAGCTACTAAAATAGTACACGAAAAGCATTTGACCAATTCTAAACTGGACAAGTATGGATATTACGTAGCCGTTTGTTACTTTTTAATAGCAATTGGTGTGGAGATATCTTCTGGGGATGTTTCCAAATGGTATAATCATTTCAATGCATGTACAGAATTGCTTCGGTCATATGGCGGGTTAGCAAAATTTCTCAAAGATTTTAATTATTCAAATGATGTGAAATGGCTAATTGCAAGCTTTCAATTTCATGATATTATGTCGTCCGTAACTCTTTCAAGCGGAACGTCTTGCTCCATGAAGAATTATAATAACTTGTTTAAAAATTATAATTTACTTGACATTGGTGATTATGGAATTGATCCATATCAAGGATGCATGCAACCCATATATTTAATACTAGGTGAAATTATGAATTCCTATGTCGAATTGAAGGAAGAAAGAAAAAACCTTAAAGCCAATATTCTACACTTATCACTTGAAGACCCTAATTCTTCTGAAATAGATGGACTCATGCAACAGCGAATTGAGCATTACCAGCTTGTAAGTAACCAATACGATGAATTGTTGAATAAGGTTCAACTTGCATGCCCTAATGAAAAACAAATATCGCTGATAAAAAATAATAAAGAAGAATTAGATTTGCATTTAACCCTATTTGAGCTTTACCGTCTTACATGTCAAATGTATTTGCTACTCTACATAAAGCAAACGCAACCTTCTTCTAGTGAAGTTCAAATGTTACTATTAACTTCATTCACATATATTAGTACTTTAGTAGAGTCGCCGATGACAGCTTCATTATCTATGCTGTTATTAATCTGCGGCATATCATGTTGCAACCAATCCGACAGAAACTATATTAGAGCGAAATTCACTAAAATTTATAACAAACATAAGGCTGGAAATGTGAGAAGGGTCTGGGACATCGTTGAGGAAAGCTGGCATAGAAATCCAGATGGTAACATTTGTATTGATTGGGTGGAAATTTGCGAAGAATACGACTGGAAATTACCAGTTTGTTAAAGAGTAGAAACTAATTGTATACTATATCACAAATTGTATTTATTACCAAATTTAGTATAAATTCATACCATTAACCACCACCGTGTCTTCTTGATGCTCTTCTTCTTTCCATTCTGATCTCTTCACGTCTTTTAAAAACATAAGACATACATATTATTATTAACTCATGGATACTCACAGAATTAGCACTTTCAAGATCTAAGGGTGCTTCACTTCTTTCAATATGCAACAAAAGCTTAGCCGTTTCTTGAAATGAAGAAATCATATATTTTTCTTTTAAATGAATTAACTCGCCGAATTTGAGCAGCGATAAATAATCCTCTTTAACCCTTTTGGAGGAGAACTTAAAGAAATCCCCAACTGAGCTATACACTAATGGGTTCTTATTGTCCAACTTTTGCTTACTAACATCCATATTGTCAATCATGGAAGTTTGATTCTCATCCAAAGAATATAAAGAATACGTGAAATTCAGCAAAATCCGATGGTACTCGGAATGAACCCACCTATACCTCTTATTACTACCTCCATATTTAGTAACATCCGCAATTGGCAATTTATTATGGAAGAAAATAGAAAACTCAATTATCTCAGACGGCTTATCAGGTTTGGGCAGAATTGAAAATATGTATTGTGAGTAATGAGTGCCGGCCTTCTTACGAACCGTACAGAATTTATACCTATCACGTTTCTTATCAAATATTCTACCTGAGTTTGGTGGTGGGGGAAGACATTTGTATATAGTAGCAAATTTACCATTTCCAAAGCTATGAATCCAACTAAATACCGCTTCCATTAAAGGCATTCCAATTCCGTTCTGTTGTAGATCTAAAACATATCTAAAATTATCAGAATCTGCAGGAACATTCTTGAATGACTTATATTTGGTAGCTGCATCACTAGATGGAAATACAAGAACGTCAGTGGACCATTGCAGATTGCAAAATATAAATTCCCTTTGAATAAAGTCAGAGCCTTCCAGAAACCCAACTTCATGCTTATATGCCGGAAGATCAGAACCCTTGACATCGCCAGGACCAGTAGGACTTTTGATATCATCAGGATAAGCTTGATCATCTTTCGATGGCTCGTATGGAGGAAGTGACATTTTGGAACGTAGTTCTCCTTATATAAAAAGTTACTTATTGACAATATTTATATCAATTAATCAGCCGCGTGAGATTTTATAGCCCCTGAACTGCATTTGAAATACAATAAGAACCCTTTCGCCAATCACCGTAAGTGCCGGATGGGTGTGGGATAGTGCAAACTTCAATTGGATGCTAACAATAACAAGAATAATAACAATTAAAATGATTGATCGTGTGCACTAATAATAATAATTGCAAATATTTTTTGACGTACTAGTAAAAAAATAGAAGCTCATGGCTGCAGCAAGCGGCATGAAGACAGAACAAATGTATGCACCAGAAGTCTAACAGAATTGCTAGGCAGCTCAAGGAATAGAGTTAAGACCAGTCTTGTAGTTCATCTGAACTGTGAATATGACTGGAGAGATAGCGAAATACATCGTTTTATGTTGCGATCGATTTAACAAATTGCAAAATGAACCCACCCTTGTAATTATGTTCTCTAAAGAAAGCACAATTTAATATATTAAGAATGTCATATTTATATAGAGATAAAATTAACCATTATGTTGAAAACTTGTTCATATAAAACAGAATTGAGGCATGAATAATCTTTGAGTATATCTTGTAATCATCTGGGTTCTGAGGAGCATAGATCAATATATTAGTTTCATCGTGCTGCCTAAAAAATTCAGGAAGGGGATGCAATTCTCCCCATTTATTTTTAACAACCGTAGATGCATCTGCCCGACTCAATGAAATATGGAAAGATCCATCTTTAGTATGTCTATGAATAATCTCTTTTTCTTGGTAAGAGGTTTTTAGAAAAAGAGCAGGAAGGCTATTTTCAACTTCGGAAATACCAATAAAACAATTGGAATTTTCTGTAAAGATATTAAAAAATTTGTTAAAATCAGAATCGACGTCGTCTTCCAATCCTATATCGTAAGCAGTTTGGCTTACCTGTCGATGTGGAATACACCATCTAGCAATATCTGGCTCGCCGTAACTCCTAATTGGCAAATCTTCCAAATATCGCTCACTATCTTCGATTTTTAGATTCAGGAGATCTCTACGGTCTCTGGAAAAGATCAATGTTGCCACTAAAGAGAATAAGTAGCCTAACAAGTTAGGAGGAGGGCCACCTGGAACTTCGATTTCCAACCATTCACGATAGTCATTGCTTTGCGACATACATACGATGCTGACTCCTAATACTGTCAATGGAACGAATAACTTTTTCACAAGATTCTTTAGGGTCATTCTGCTGTCAAAAACGCTTGAAATTCCTTCCAGTAACCCTGATAATGAATACATATATATGGGCCGCACAAAATATGTCAAAATGAGATATATTTATAAATTTACATACATTAGTAAGACTCACACTAAGTCCTTGCCATACATATGAGCACCAACAAAATAATTATATCCCTTAAGAATAGCAACATTTTTAACGTATCCAATTCTTTCAAAGCCTAATGAATCCCATATTTTTAAGCTCGCTACGTTGGTTTCGAAAACAAGATTAAACACAGAGTAAATATACCCCAATCTTGGGGCCCAATCTAAATACTTAGAGCCCAATTCCTTGCCAATTCCCAATCCTCTCTTGTTGTGGTTGACAATGAACCCAGCATTACATACATGAGAGCATCTGCCAATATAATTTGGTTTCACGTAGAAATTACCCAAGAAAACTGACTTCCAATATGATTCTGGCAAATCTTTCTCACCCAACGTGTCCCATTCTCCTTCAAGCAAAACAGCTACAAATGCACTAAACCAGTATTGAACGAAATCCTCAAAATCCATAATTTGGTGATGGGGATACGTGATTCCCTCTTCAATTACATAGTTGAATTCTTTTTGCAATACAATTAATAAGTTCTTTGGAACATTACTGGCCTGATGCACCGGAAATAAAGTAACAACTTTCAGGTCATCTTTCTCCAACCTAAACTTGAGTGGCTCAGTAATTCTACCCATGGCTTCAACCCTACCATTGGCAAATGGTAAATCTTGTAAATATTCAAATTTGGCTTTCTCAACTGTCATGTTCTCATAAACTAAAATATATCAACTTCTTAACTATTTTCAAACTGCTCTCTCTAATATTAAAGTTGAAACAGAGTCTGAGTCTAATTAATTGTCTTTATGTCAAAAAAAAGTAGGCATATCTCTTCACTTATAGATACTTCGGGTACATGTACCCGGATAACGAATAAAAAAATGCGGAGGGGGGAGATTTTGATGTAGCCTTCGGTAATCAAAAAATAGTAAATTATCATGAAAAAGAGAAGATCAGTGAGAGTAAGAGAGAAAATTCCATTAAATGAACGAAAGAGGGCCCCAGTAGCGTATGTTTGACTTTGTTTTGGTTTTATGTTATTTACTATTAAAATACCACTTGACTTTGATATACTAACAATTTACGAAATAGATGCGAGAACTGTCGAAGTAGTAAATCAAAGTGTACAGGTGGATATCCCTGTAATAAATGTACGAAAGGCAACATTGAATGCAAGATAGTGTCTATCCCTAAAGGTGTAGTTTCACTGAAAAACATAAAGTACGTATCATATGATCTTGTTATGTAAGATCTAAAAGTTCAACAGATTTACTAACTGTAGGAAGTGAATTGAATAAGACATTGAAGGATTACAATTGTAAGCTTGAACGCATGCTTCGCTTCTTACGTCCAGAAATATCGTTGGAATACTTGCGGAACAATGTTGATTTAGTTGAGCGATCTTTCTACTCAGATAGTGATAAATTAGGTCAACCTGATGATTCAAAGGATCGGATAACATCTCGGGAACAGACATTTTGCAATGATAAGAGGTTCGAATCGAATAATCGAAAACATATAAATTCATTGTTTGTGTCAACTGCAGACAGCATTTTCTTAAAATTCCTCCAAGAGTCACAGAATCCTAAAGATTTCGATAACTCCTTACTTAATTTTAAAGAACAAGAACAATTCGAAGAGCTTATTTCGGATGAAATGATAGAGAATGCATTATCATATCTACCTTCAGATTCGGAAGTAATATCCCTAGTGGAGTTATTTTTGAAGGTATGTGAAACTAATTATTGTTACATACATCCACATAACTTTGAAATAGTGCTTGATACCTTTCTTCAAGAGAAAGCTAAGAAGCACATGAAATTTTTAAAGCAAAATTGGATCTTTATGATAATTTTGTTTGGCGTACTTGCGATCTCTTCTGGGTACGACTATATTGGCGAGGGCCGATCATTACCTTCTGTCACGAATTCTATGCTTGGGTTAGATGATCCAGGTAAAGTATACTATAAAGCTTCGTTGCCATTTGTAGGTTTTTTGCTTAAAAGTAACAGCATATATTCTGTTCAAGCATTGCTTCTATTAGGATTGTTCGTTGTGACCGATGAAAATACAAATGTAAATTCTACTATACACCACGGTTATCTTTATGTATATTTGTCTGTTGAAAAAGCGATAATTAACAAACTTCACATTAACGATCCCAACATTGACCCCGTTAATAGAGAATTTATGTCACGGCTATGGTGGAGTTGTTATTGTTTAGAAAGACGGTATGGCATTAACTTAGGAAAACCAGAAATAATAAAAAGAGTTGAAATAACGGCTCATTTACCTCAACCATGCACATCTTTAAATAAAAGAGATGGCACTTCAAATTACTTGAACCAACGAGCATTGATAGAGCTAACTTTTATTTTCAGTGAAATTTCAGGCTTGATCTATGAAAGGTGCAAGAATAATGAAAGATGTGATGACTATGTGAGTTTGGACTTGAGAATAGTTAAAAACTTATTGAGTGAACTAGAGAAGTGGAGTATGAAATATTCAGCTATTATGTGTAATATCAATCTGCTAGACCCCAATTCCAATCTCTATAGGGCGCATGTTCACCTATCATTACATTATCTATTAGCCAAATTATACGTTGGTAAACCATTCTTATTGTACAAAGTTGAAAACTATCACTCTAATTCTCACTTAGATTCTACCGAATCCCACTTTATTGACTATTTAACTTCGGTTTGTGTTGATTCAGCGTTTAAAATAATTCAACTACTATGTATATTAAACAAATATTCCAAATTGGGGATATATTCTGCTACTGATCTTAACTTTTGCAACTTGAGTATGTTTGTAATAGTTTTATGGTTGAAAATTGATAAGTCAAGTTCTACCGTGTTATTTTTAAAAGACGGATTAAAAATATTAAAAACACTATCTATGGGATGTGCTAGTGCAAAAATAACCTTTTCTAGACTTTCTAAATTAGAACTCTTACTTTCAAGAGCTTGTGAGATTGACAAGGACGCAGAAATACAAGAAATACCCGATGATATGAAAGTTAAAGAGCTTGATATTTCACAATTTCCAGATAGTGAAATTGAATTCAAAAATTCTAGTTTCTATAATGAAGGTATGGAATCTAAGAAACTACCGTACAATATGAAAATACACCATGATCAAACTACATATGATAATCCTTCATTTAGTTACAATGCCAAAAGCAATGAAGGAATTATGAATATTGATGCGGTCGGTTTATCACCACAAGAGCATTCAGATACTAATAACTATTTCGAAGATTGGACAAAGGATATCGATTACCTCAGCTTTAACTTTCCTTTGGATAATTCGAATAATCTAGATTGATAGGGTCCCAATTTATAAACAGATTTAGTGTTAGAGTCTACCAGATATGAAAGATACATTCGAAGGGAAGTACTTGTATTAAATTTTTTCGCATGATATTTGTTACCTATATCTATTGTTGAATAGTTTTGATATCACATAACTGAAATGCAAGATAGTCTTATCAAAATTTCAGCTGAGTCATGCAAACAGAGGGGAGATAGCGGAATGCCGTATTTGGAAGGTGGGTCCAAACCATATATATATGGTATAAACGAACTAAAGAAAGAGGTAAATTGGTATTTCGGTAATACATAATACGAATGTCGGTTACAATTAGACCCATTGAGCAAAAGGATAAAGAAGAATGGTTAGATTTGTGGTCTGGACCTGATAGTTATCTTGTTTTCTATAAATCGCACGTTGCCCCAGAAGTATCAGAAAATACCTTTAAGAGGTTTTTTGACCCTAAAGAGCCTGTATACTCTGCAGTGGCAGTAGATGATGCAACAGGAAAGGTTATCGGGTTTGTCAATTACTTAACCCACAGAAATACCTGGACAATTGAGGATGCGTTGTACTTGAATGATTTATTCGTCAGCAACAGTTCGAGATTGAAAGGAGTAGGAAGGAAGCTTATTGAATATGTTTACACTGAGGCGGATAAGTTCAATTGCAAGAAGTGTTACTGGTCGACCCAGTTTGAGAACCATAGGGCTCAGTTACTTTACACGAAGGTTGCTGTGAAAAGTGGTTTTTTGCTCTATAAGAGACCATAGTGATTAAATATGTTTGTATGATGTTATGAGATAATCAATTAGTTTGGAGAAATAGTCCCGGTTTAATAAAGTAGCTGAAGAGAATATTCGGATAAAATGTAAACCCTCAAGTTGCAGTAAAACAGTCAATTGGAAGCGTCATGCTAAGTTTCTGCATACTTGCTCGAAGAGACTCTTTGCACCCACCGACGGCATTTCCTCTTTCGGCTATTATGATCCCAGAATCGGCACCATACTAGCTTTGTGCTATTTATTAAAAAGCCATATTCAGCCGGGCAAAATGTCGTAATAATCTCAGAAAGTGTCGCGATTTCTCTAACAAATATGCTTAGCCTTACAATGCTCGAGTTAAAGGTATATGCCCCCAGTATCCTCAGCATGGATCAATTCTGGACAGTATTCATCTTGTCCCAGTATAACTTATGCTACTCGTATCTCTCCGAGCATATAGCTGTAAATAGCACTTCTAACAATTTTCTATACATGCAACACCTTAAGTTTCTGTTCAAATTCTCCCATTACTCACATCATACACTTGTTAATAGCCTAGTGAATCGGTTTACTTCATATCACTGCTACTATAATCACCATTTGTTTTGTTGCAAAATGGCCTAATGGCATTCGAATCAAATATCCTGCACATTGACGTACATTCCCCGACTCGCCCAGAACTCCAAATATCTCCGTCTAACTCCTGCCATACAGTCTACCTGGGTTTAGTTTAACTCCCCGTACCTTCCTTCAGTGCAATAAACCAGCAATCGGGCCTCAAACCACCGTCTTTCGCTGTAGTCCCCCCCTCTTAAGCCCGTTTTTTGGCCCAAATCAACCATTTTTTCCGGTTTTTATTTAAACTCCTATCCGGGTAACTTGGTGAGTAGCCCACCGGGCTACCTAAATTGCTATTTCGGACATCGGGCCAAGTCTATTCTTGGTCTTTACCATCTCGTTGATCTCGCTCATCTACATACTACATACCTTATAAGTATATATATTGCATTTTCGTTGAATTCCCGCTCTCTCTGTCCTACCCTACTTCTCTTACTTTCCTGACCTCTCTTATTACCTCGTACGCTTGCTACCGATATGCCATATGTAATATTATTGTTATCGTTATCTATGCGCACTGATTCGGATATCTATCCAGCATATCAGGATCCGAAGCATACCATCCACCTTATTACCTCTACAACCACTACGTACCATATATGCCATAGCGTAGTAGGTATATGACGCTTATCAGGCGTACGCATTAAGTGTAGACCAGTTGTAACCGTCTGGAGTATGGAGTATCGTAGCAGGAACAATAATGGAAGCATTAATACCGCGGGCTGCGTAACCACTATCATGAACCCACTCCACTCACTATAACGAATAAATTAGTAACCACCACACTGTGATTAATAAATTGACAAAGTCTTTTTTCTTAGTTCCCAGAGATAATATATTTGCCATCATTAGTTAGCATAATACCGGATATATAGGTTCGGAAGACATATAGTAGCAGATTCCAGGAATATACAAATAATAAAGAAAATTAGGGCGGTAAATTAGAGTCATATATTATCTATAAGCGTTCGGCATCATTGATCAGCAATACGATACACTCAAAATATTGAAAAATAGAAAAATCGATAATTATGCCCGTTAATGCAGAAATAATGACGGGGGAGTTTGCAATGCCAGCGAGTCAATCGGGGGAGCTTAATATAAACGACGAGGTGTTCTTGCGCCAGAACGAATATGAGTTGATAGGCGCAGACATTATGGGAGCGGAAAACATGGGAGGTTTTGAAGAATTGGCCAGTAATATATCATCGAGATCGTCGTTGGCGAACTTGCCTGTGGTCGGTCAAACGACTTATTCCACCACTAATACGACGCCCGAGATGTCATCACCGCCCAAGCTGCATCCGGTCTCAGGACACTCGTTCAGCTTGCCTATTGACCAATTGAACCTCTTATCATTGAAGTCGATGTCATCGACGCAGTCGTCTAAATCACCCTCGCCTGAATACAACCTATATAGCGTCATACGAGAGAATGCAGAAGAAGAGAAGACAATTAACCCAAGACAGTTGTTCAGCGAAGATATAGACATAGGGGTAGCTTCAGCATCAGCAGCATTAGCTTCATCAGACAAACATACAGATGAGACAGGAGATATTGGTGCCAAAGGATACATATTGCCATCGTCATCGTCGCCGTCGCTATCGTCATTTTTTGACGGTACCCAAAGGGCACCCTATACAAAGACGAAATCACACTCGATATCAATGGGATCAGACATCACATCATCAAAAAAGTTTGACTTCATAATGAATAACGAGTGCTTCAACGCCATTCTGTATTGGATCAACGATACCTTGCAGAACGTTAATTCAAAAATGCACGATGATGACGAAGAGTTGGGAGGAGCTGAAGAGATTATGGTTAACCCCACAGGTATCATCAAGTCTAATTACTACAAGAGGCGGAATTCGATTCAACTTGTGACACCGTCGAGCTACAACCAGCATAGTTCCTTTGACGATGATGCCAAAGTCCAAAAGAAGAAGAGAAGAAAGTCGTATAATTATGACTATGCCAAAACAATGACTAAACAAGACATCCCAGCAGTACCTGCTCCTAGCAACCCTGAGTCCGTGGCCCCTACCCATAATAGACACAACTCTGACACCGTTAAAGAACCTTTAAACGAAACCCGTAATATCTCCAACGACGAAGACGAGCAGGACAAGCCATTCCCGTGCCCCGATTGTGCTAAGCAATTCAAGCGGTCCGAGCATCTCAAGAGACATATAAGGTCTGTACATTCCAACATACGTCCATTCCATTGCAAGTACTGTGAAAAGAAGTTCAGTAGGAGCGACAATCTCGCCCAACACTTAAAGACTCATTACAAAGTAAACACAAACGGAACGACCACCATAATCTATGGTAACCCTAATTTACACAATAGAGGCGGTAGAAAGAAACACTCTGATTGATTTAATAAATATTTTGTTACTTAATTTTAATGACAATGTAGCGATATTGCGACATGCAATTTGTTGAATACGACATTATAACATAATCTTATTTTGCAACTTTTGCCAAAATTCTAAATATTTACGCTTTTATCGACATGAACTACATACGATTGTTAATAATAAATATATTCTACTTACATAACTGAAAAATCAATATAATAGTTTAATTCGAGAGAATGAATTTAAAGAAAGTTATTCTTTATTTCTAAATACAACTTTTTTTCCACTTACCTTATTCTCGATAAGCAAGTTTAGGCCCTCATTTGCTGACTCCAAACCGGCTGGTAATACTTCTAATGGAGCAGTTTTAATCTTATCTAAAACAAGGGGAAGGTGGTCATTCCAGAACTGAAGATAAGATTTTATCATTTCTGGCGATGCCTTTTCCCCGAAGTGCTTTCTTCCATCAACTAAATATCCATTCGTGATTGCAAACCTAACTTTTCTTTCTGGCTTGATAGATATAGTTTTCTTATTTAAGAATAAAAGATTATCGACGCAAACACCTTCTGATCCTTCTGTAGCATCATAGACAGATTGAAATGTATCGACATTCGATACACAATCCAAGCCATATTTGATTCTGCCCTCTCCTGCCTTTTTCAACTTCTCAATAACTCTATCATCATTATAATCAAACACTTTATCGGCTCCTAACGCTATCAATGCACTATGGTTTTTTTTTGAAGCAGTTGTTATTACATTGATACCATAAACCAATTTAGCAATTTGAATTGCCATAATACCAGTAGCAGTAGCTCCTCCCCAGATCAAGATATAATCATTTTTATTTTCATCCTTGTTTGTTGGTATCTTAAAATTATCATGGAAGCTTAAAGCAATGGTTTTAAGACCCACAGGTACGGAAGCAGCAGCTTCAAAAGAATTAATAGTAGTGCTTGGGTGATAACCTTGACTAAGAGCTTCTTTCAGTATCTGAGAATCAGGAAACTTGATTGTTGCATTCGAGCTAACCATCACATACTTAGAAAAACCGCCATTAGTATTCATTCCACCATGGAGCGAACTAGCAACAATATCCCCTTTTTTAAAACCAGTCACATTCTTGCCAATTTCTTCCACTATTCCACTAACATCTGACCCAACAACGACTCCCTTTTGAGCTATTGTAAGATTCTTTCCCACAAAGTATCCGATACGTGACCCAATGTAACCCAATGGGCACTCAAGCCTGCGAAAACCAAGACCAAACTTCTTAGCGAATTCAGAAACTAGATGTGAAGCAAATGACTCAGGGAAAATATGTTTCCAATCTGTTGGGTTGACAGCATAGGCGACTACTTTCACAATAATCATATCATCTTCCAATTTAGGGTACGGCGTCTCCTTAATAGCCACGAGTTTTTGTAAATTTCTAGAGCCTGTTACTACAGCTCCTTCGTTGACCTTCATCTTGGGTTAATTGTTTCTATACTGAATGCAAATCGTTTATGTGCTAGACATCCAGCTTAAATAAATTTCATGAATTAGTAGATTGTAAAAGATTATAAATTGTTTGACGGAATTAATATGCCACTTGTGGAGTTAATGACGCACGAAACGGATTTGACTTAAACCTTCCGCGCTCAGTTTAGTTATCAATCCTTACACTTAATCTATAATAGATAGCAAGTTTAAATAACTTTGAAAAAGGTCCCTCTAAACTATTCTCTTTTGCAGTAATTATGACTGGTAGTACAAAACTTAAACTCTCTGATGGTACGGAACTATTTTACAAGGACTGGGGACATGGAGACCCCATAGTTTTCAGCCATGGCTGGCCATTAACATCTGATGCATTTGAAGACCAGATGATCTTCTTAGCTATGAAAGGATACAGAGTAATTGCTCATGACCGAAGAGGACACGGTAGATCGTCTCAGCCATGGGAAGGTCACACAATGGATCAGTATGCTGATGATTTGGCTGAACTCGTAGACCACTTGGAATTGAAAAAGGTGATTCACATAGGCCACTCTACAGGAGGAGGAGAAGTAGCTAGGTACATTGGTCGTCATGGAACTCTGAAAGTTCTGAAGGCTATCTTGATTGGAGCGGTTCCCCCGCTTATGGTAAAAACAGAAGATAATCCTGTGGGTACCCCCATTGAAGTATTTGATGATATAAGGAAGAACGTTTTGAAAAATAGATCTCAATTTTTTAAAGATTTAGCGTATGAGTTTTATGGATTGAGTCGGGACGACCCACAAGGGTCGTCTGGATTAATTGATAGCTTTTGGATGCAAGGGATGCAATCATCAATAAAGGCAGCGTATGACTGTGTTGCTGCATTTTCAGAGACTGACCAACGAGAAGATTTAAAAAGTATGAGTATACCTACTTTAGTCTTATATGGTGACAATGATAATATAGTACCTCCCATTTCGTCTAGTAAAGCAGCAATTAAGATTTTACCTCAGGCTACAGAAAAAGTCTATCCTGGGGCATCTCACGGCTTGTGTACCACCCACAAAGATGCCATAAATGAAGATATTTACCAGTTTATTAGCAAATGAAAACAATTAAAGTAAATGGTTTTTTTATAGTATATTTGTAATAGGAAATTCAATATATGAACATTGGTTTTTTAAGGACATATCAAAGGTCTCCTTTAAAGCAGTTTAAGTAGACTTTTCAATTCTAAATGCGCATGAAGTTTAGAGAATAAACAAATTATATATAAATTTGTATTGTATAAATAGATTCTAATGTATCCTTAATTAATTATTGTAATCAACAGAAAATTGAAAAAGAATGAATTTGGTACTTCAAAACCGATCTTCAAATCATTTGCAGGTAAATTGGTTGTACTAAATCTGTTTAGCATCAATAATTAGCTGAAAAAACTCACAAACAGTGTCTTTAAGAGGCCTATATTTAAGGAGCAATTCATTTATACCTTTAGAATTGTCAGCCTTCCACTCGTAATTAACATTTTCAGTAATATACCTCCTTGTTAGGCTTTTACTGATAAAGGGACCTATTAACCAGAGTAAGAATTTTGGTGCTGCACTTTTCGGAATTGGATATGAATCATATTCTGGCGATAATGCTTTCCCAATTCCCAATAAAGAAGTATTGTGGGCAGAAATAATATAACGGCCATGGGCATTCTTGACAAAGGCAGCTTTCAAATGAGCGTCAGCCAAATCTCTCACATCAACGATTCCAAGACCAGAATCTGGTACACCACTCTTCATCAGACCATCTCCATATGCTTTCATGATATTGAAACTTTCAGATGTTGCATTTGGGTTTAATCCAGGTCCTAAAACTAAAGACGGATTCACAACAACAAGATCCCAATTGTTTTGCTTTTCGTGGATACTCCATGCCTCCTTCTCCGCTATAGTTTTGGAATAAGCATATGGATTGTAGCTTAATGAAGAAATATCATTCCATACATCCTCGTTTAAAGTGCCGTTTGGAAGGGAAAGAATCTTTCTATTAGAGCCACAAATTGCAGCAACACTGCTAGTTAACACAACCCTAGATACTGATTTTGTCTTATTTGCTGTCTCCAACACGTTTCTAGTTCCTATCTTGGCAGGATCAACGAGATCTTTCTGAGGATCAGTGATTTTCGACGTGAACGGAGAGGCAGTATGAAATACTACCTTACATCCCGCCATACCTTCTGCATATGAACCTTCTGTTAACAAATCAGCTTTAAAAAACTTTAAATCACCACTTGTACTGCTCTTCATTCTTCGAGGTGACGAAGTTTATCGTGGTTGGACGGGTCTCTAACGGCTGCATGAACAGTGACTCCCGCTTCCAACAATCTTTTCACAACCCACCCTGCCACATACCCTGTGGCACCAGTAACAAGGACCGGACTCTCTGTATCAATAGTGTAGTTAAACTCAGTATTTGTCAAATTTGTCATATTTTTTGACTGAATTTCATTGACAGAATGTTGACGAAATATACTTCTTTTATAGGTGCTCGTCCTTTATTGGCAAGAAGACCCACTTCATCATTAATTCCGTTAATTAAAGATAAAGATAACTCCGTTAACTGCGGACTAATCAAGTTTTTGGATAAAGCTTTTGATTTCTTCAAAAATTAGTGCGCCTTTTAGCTTTATGTCCGTTAACTGCGGTTTCTTTTAGTAAGCTATCTCCGGTGGTTTTGAGATTGGTTACAATGATATTCCATTTTTCAGTTTTTTGTACCTGCATTGCATCAAAAGTTCTTTTTATTGCAAAAGTCATAGAAGGTCATATATTCTATAATCGCTCTTTATTTTAGCTCGTCTTCTGAAAAGGCATTTTTAGTACAGCTGAATGTGGTAGCAAAATTTGAGACTTATTAAGCAAATAATTCATATGGTGTATGAGTTCCAAAATACTATCTACATTGTCAATAGAATATACCTGATCGAATGATTTAATCTGATCAGTGAGCATATCTTCAAATTTGAGATCAAGTAATCAAATTCAATTATCTCAGCCTAGTTTAGCCTCTGTCAAAAGTACTACTCGGCAAATTAATCATGAGTCTATGTAATCATCTTTAAAGTTCCTCGTTAAGCAACCAGAGTTGCTCACATATTAAAGTTGTAAATTATTCATCCTTGTATATTAGCATGGGTACCTCTAAGCCCTTCACAAGTGGATATCAGCATCGACAAGAGTAATTCTAGTCGTTAAATCTTTATGAAGCTCATGAAACCTGACTACCCAGCCTCATAGTATTAAATCAAGTCAGATGCTAGATATTCATTTCGGAATTTTACATTTCGATCACTCGTAGTAACTGGGATTCTTGCGGAGTGTATTTACCGCACTCTCTGTGTATAGCTAAACTGATCTGACATTTCTTGACAATTTAAAATCTTGTCTGAATTCCAAAGTGAATTAACTTCTTTTCATATGCTTGTAGACTTAGCACCTAATCGTGTTAACGGACATGGCTTTCACGCATTACTAATGGTCTTGACAGCTAACCATGTGAAAATTAGCTGATTAATCTGGAGTGAAGTAGTAGGCATCAAGTGAAAGGCAACGGGTTCCTATAGGTGCTAGTATATTGACGTTTAAGTTTATATGCCTTCTACTGTTGAAACGCTTCATGACCGAAGCGTTAATTTGCAGCAACTAGTACTACGCATTGACTTCGTTTCAGAAACTTATATTGGTGCGATTGTGCCCACTACACTCAACCAAGTATACAACCCCTATAATGCCCGAGATTGGTTTTCACCCATACTAGAGTAGAACGCCGGTCGTTTGCAATTTGCAATCATGGTAAGGCTATATACGTGAACTGCATGTAGCATGGATGACGCATTCTCCAGATGCTTTTGATCAATGCGATAACTATGGTATACTTCTCACGACCAATATTAACCATATCGGTAAGTAGAATATATCTGTACAATCGTCAAAATATTTACCCGCCATGGATAAATAACATTCACCATATATATGCATATATACACACACAAAAGCCATATATGTAACTGCTTTCCATACATCTATCATACAAACCTATGGATATACAGCATCATACAATAGATATACACACATACTCTCCATAGACATTGCATCTGAAAAACATATTCAACATGCTTTTCATGCAATCACATCTTATCATATCGGAAGAATCAACAAACGCCGAGGTAATTCAGAGCGGCTGTTCCATGGTGATGTTCTGTCAGTGATTCTTCCCGCTCATCACCTACGTCATCCCACTGTGGAAGTGTTACCCGCCCAATGCGCTCGAAAAGCTTCTATTACGTAATGGAAGCGTCTATTGTGATGTAGAATTGCCTAAACGGGACGAACGAAGTAAACTCGTTTATATACAGTTCAATAGGATTCTCACCAAAATTCCAAAAGGGTCATTTCATCTATGGGCTCTCAGCAATTTATTAGCAAAATTCACATATAATTTCCATTATTCCCTTTTGGTTGAAAATTGTATAATTCAAATTCAATAAGTGACTAGAGATAATAATTGGTAACACGAGAGTATGTCACAATCAGTTTATCAAGCCAATGGGAAACCATTATCACAAACCGCCATTTATCAACAGAGGTTAAGGCAAGGCGTCTACCAGTCCCCTAGCAACGTATCCGTCGGGGTGAACACCAATGCTTCGGATACAGCCGCGTTGTTGGCTGCATCGTCAGATTTGACCGTTAAACCATCGTATGAAAGGACAATTGCACAGGACGCCCACACCGCAGCGCTCCTGGCGAAGAGGGATGAGGCCAGTATTTTGACCCGAGACAACGAGGCCAGGACAGCCACTATGAAGAGTGTGGGTAGCGGATACACTGGAGTCACGGGAGCAGTAAACGGAGGCTCCATTTACAAGGTTGCGACCAAGAACTCGAGTGGTACTATGACCTCGAGATTGGACCCAGTCAAGGACTATAGACACGGATTGGGCTCCAAGAGTAGTGCTACTACTCTCAACATTGGTAAAATTAACCAGATTGCCACGCAAAAATCGACCAAGTCATTGAACTCTAGATTCAACCCAGACTTGGACTATAGATCGGGATTAGCTGGCCACCACCGTCCGGCTGAATTTTTGGACCAGGAAGAGGAAGATTTGGCCGCCAGCGGTGCCACAGCTTCGTTGAAACACGGTGGTTCGACATCGAACAGTGCTTCATCGCAGGTTAGGTCAAAGTCCTTCAAGTCGACCGATGTCGCTTATGGCAACTTGTTGGCTGCTGCCAACGACAAGGCACAAGACCGTTTGAAATCACTCAATTCTTCTACTGGGAAGGATTTCAAACAACAGGCCAGAGAATACGCTGGTGCATTAGCCATTGCGCAAAAGAACAGTGATGAAAGAATGAAAAACAACAAGGCTGGTATGGTTGACTTGGGAGGTGGTTTAACCATGTCTCTTACTGACTTGGATGCCAAGGCTGCATTAGTGGTTGGCCCAGTTTTGTCTGATATTGAAAGCAAGGCTACGGCTCAAAGAGAAGCTGATGAGCAAAGCAAAGCGAAGCACGCGAAATTGGTTGGCCTTCACCAAAAGTCCAAACAGGAAGACCAGGCCCGTAAAGAAAGGGAAAGAAAGGAAATCGAAAAGGAGAAGGGTACCAGAGTCACTGCCAATGAAGATAGAAAGAAGGGTGAAGAGAATGAGTACATTGAGTACCAAGCCAGCAGAAATGAAGAAGTTGAAAATAAGGTTGGTGAATTAAAGGCCTTAGAATTGAAATACGCTGAAGAAAAGGAAAAGTTGTTGGGTGAAAAACAAGAAAACCAAGACCGCATAGATGCTGAAGAGAAGGAATTGAATGATAGTCGCAGCAAGGAATTAAAGGAATTACAAGCTGAAAAGGATGAGATTTTGAAACCAACTTTAGACGAATTGGAAGAAGAAAACACCAAATTGGAAGCAATTGTCAACTCCAAAAATGAAATTGCGGAAGAAGTTGAAAAGCTGAAGGCTTTGAATGAGGAATATGACGCCAAATTAGCTGAATTGACCAATAACTTAGAAAAAGTTAAAATTGAAATCGAGGAATATACCATGGAGTTAGAATTATCTACTCAGAAACACGAGGAAACCTCAAAAGAAGTGGATAACTTACGTCAAACTTCTATTGATGAATTGAAACAAGCAGAAGATTCCCACAAGGAATTAGATTCTAAGATTAGCGAATTGGACGCAACTAAGAGCAAGCATTTAGAAGACAAAGTTTCCCAGAGAAAAGAAATCGAATCCCACCTTGATCAAAGAGTCAAGTCTGAGCATGAAATCAATAAGGAATTACCAGAACATTTACAAAAAGACATTGATGAAGATAAATTGAGGGATACGGGTTCCTTATTCGACGAACCTAAATTCGAGGATGACGAAGAAGATGAAGCCGAGACTCCTCAACCAGCAAAGTCTAAGTCAGTAGGGGTCTCTGGAGTCAAGGAAATTCCATTAGTTGATGACAAAGAATTGGAAACTGGAGCTGTTGTTCCTAGCAAGTCTAAGTCAGAAGCTAAGTCTAAGGATACAGAAAAGAAGAGTAAATCTGCAGCTGGCACAACCGCTAAGGAATCAAAGAAGACCGAGTCAAAGACCTCTAATACAAAGTCACCAGCCAAGGCCAAACCTGCTTCTAACCAAGCTGCCAATGAATCACCAAAGAAATTGAGTGGTTTTAAGAGATTCACTAAGTACTTTTCTGGACATGAAGAACAACCTGCATCAGCCAAGAAAGCAGAACCAAAGTCAACCAAAATAGATGATAAAACCAAACCTGCCACTAGTGCTGCAAAGTCTGCAACCAAAGACTCTAAATCATCCCCAGCTAAAGACACTTCGAAGAGCGCTTCGAATACTTCTGCTAAGGATGCTTCGGAAGACAAACCTAAAGTTGCTGATAAAGTAGATGACAAGTTGACTAAGAAGGAATCTGAAGGAAGTGCCGAAGATATTGATGATCTTTCTTCTAGTAAGAATCAAGGTGGAGTCTTCAAAGAAGAAATCTAATCTAATGGTAATCGAGTTACCTAATAAATTGTTTAATACTTTGTTCACTGCTTTTTAACATTTTAATTTTTTATTATTTCATTTAATCTTTCGTACTCATTTACTTAGAAAGTTAATTCTTTTTTTTAAGTACCTATTTGTTTTTAAGAATGTATTATTTATCCATGTGTTTATTATATACGAAGAAAATTTTATTAGCTTGTAGAAAGAATTTAAAATGCGAATGAAAATATCAAAATTCAAATTAATCAAGACCATTTATTAACAGGGAAAAGCCATCAAAATGTCAGCAGAGCAATCACAGTTTAATAAGCTATTGACCAACTATAACTTCAAATTGGCTTCGGCCAGTGAAGAATACAAGAGTCGTCGTAAGAGACAAATGATGCTTTTTATGGGATCAGCAGCTATAACTATCTTCACATCAAGATTAGCCTACAAATCTACAATCACAAGACAATACGTCCCGAGCTTGTTTCAAGGGAACCATGCGCCACCATTAAGTTATAATTTCACATCAGATGCTGCCGTAGCAGTTGGAACTGGTACCCTATTGTGTGGTAGTGTTTCCTCCATGATTATTTTTGGAACTTGTTGGATCATAGATGTGTCGAACTTTAAGGAATTCGGTTGGAAAATGAAGTCCTTAATGGGTGGATGGGAGAAACAGAAAGAATTGGCCAAATTACCAATGGACGAGGAAAGTGCTTTAATACAAGACAGCTTGAATGATATTCTCGATGGTAAATACGACTTTGATGAGACCGCTCCAGCAGAGAAATAATTACTATATGCTACAGAACTTTTACCAATTAATTTAATCAGCCTTAGTCGTAATTTGAACGGCATGGAACAACGGTTCTAAAAGACCCAATCGAATGAATGCTTAAAATATGCATAATTAATTAAAACTTCACATAGTGAAATAGGAGTTGTCCTTGAATACGATCTCCTGATACCCGTTCTTTCTATACCTTTTGTAAATAGCCAAATCTTCACCAGAAATCATTAAATATACCATTCAGTGTTGTATTCGGTATTTTCCTGCATGTAAATTGTCGTAGATGGCTGGCTAAATTATAAAGACCAAACGAGTATTATCACAATTTTTATTTGTACATATACTACATTAAACCGAGTAAAGGTTTTAATATCAATTGAACCGAGTAGCTTGACTGTTTATTATAGTGTAGCATACTTTTGACGCGTCAGAACAAATCAGCATCCGAATTGAACGAGGGTGACACGCCGAAAATATTGAGATGGCTAGGATATCGACATCTTCGAGTAATAGAAATTTACCGTCATCTAATGCCTTAAGACGTCAAAGAGAAAGAGAAGAGCAAATCCGAAGGGGTAGGGTAGGTCAGACATCTGCCAATCATTCAAGACAATCGTCAGTTAATAGACAACGAGAAACAGGGGTGTATCAAAATCAACCGGGGGATCCTCCTGCCACAAACGCTTCCAGCACAAAGAGAAAGAGAAGATACAAGCCAGGTACCAATGCCATCCGGGAAATTCGTCAATTTCAAAGGTCCACAAGTTTGCTACTTAGAAAGCTACCATTTTCAAGATTGGTCAGGGAAATAGCTGAGAACTACATAGGAGCTTCTTATGGTATACGGTGGCAATCAAATGCTGTAATGGCTCTACAAGAAGCATGTGAAGCATACTTGGTTCACTTGTTAGAAGATACAAATCTCTGTGCTATCCACGCAAAGAGAGTTACGATCATGCAAAGAGATATCCAATTGGCCAGACGAATAAGAGGACATATATGAATATCTGCTATGGATGATTTCTTCTATTATGTATGTTATATATTGTATTATAATTAATAAAGGGTTAAAGATGTAATATGACGGTGACGCTATACCAATCAGGTATTTCAATATGTTTTCCTATTTAGGAAATATGTAAACACCAGTAATCTTCTGTACTTCGCAGACAGATATGATCTAATCAGACCCAGCCATTGACTAATCTTTAATTTCTACTTGGTATCACAGTCCTATTGTTAATCTCTTGGTTTATGGCTGATGCAATTTTGACTTTGAGTTTTTCGAATTCATGATTTTGTTTTAACTAAAAGTTACAACACATTCTTTTCAATACACAAGACAAGAATATCTTTTTATTGATCATACTTTTTCATCTACTAACACATTTCAAATAAAACACTGACTAGTGAAAGCGGAGGAACAAGGTTTTAAATTTACTATATTATTACTATTTTTCAGTTTATTGTCTTCATAACTAAGACTACTAAACGAGAATGGCCACGGTTACTACATCTACTACAGGAAAGAAAAAGATCGTTTACAAGCAAGATACAGATGGAGTTTTTAGGTTGAAAAAGATTCCAACGGATATTGGGGTGCATGGAAAGTATCGTGAAAGCAAAAATGCTGCTGAAGATCACTTGAATGAATTAATTGGCTGTACGTATCAAGTGCTGAATTCGTCTACTGAGGAATCAAATGAGGTACTACCCACGTCGGATCCTATCCTGGTATGCCCAAAGGACACCAAATATGTTCCTACAGAGCACCAGGTTAAGCCAAACAGAAGAGCAGCCAAAATAAAAAGTACAAACTCTTCCACTCCATCTATTAGACTCAAAGTTCCCAATGTCAAAGTCAGCACTGAAGCATTTGAAAAAATGACCGGAATACATGTTCCAAGTTTTGCTGCAGGTTGCATGATCACTTTGGTGTTTGTTAGTTCCTCACCATTGATCACACATTATACATCCATAATGTTTAACGTCGTCAAACTAGGCTTATTTTGGATCCTTTTAGTTGGAGGTATAACTTGGTACTCTGGAATTGTCAAGCTCCAGGATTCTGAAGCAATGTCTACTTTCATGAACAGTATCAAAGACACCTTTTTCGAAACTGAGATTCAAGAGGAGGTAGACGACGAAAGCGAAAGAGGTGATGATTTGAACACACACGGCCACTCTGATAATTACACCAGTAAAAATTCTAGTGAAATTGTCATTCCTAGTGCCGTACCAAGAAGAAGATCTGCATCGCCAGTAAAAGGTGCAAGGGCACCGCTAACTTCCGTTACACCATTCAAGTCTGCACCTCCTAAACAGGATTCTAGGTTCCAAAGTAATCCAGAATTAGTAACTGGAGAAAATTCTTCTCCTCCAAAGCTTAACAGGTTCCACACCTCTGATCCTAAAGGTTACCAAAACCAACCTAAGAAGAACTCAATACTTTCATTAGGCAAGATGAGAAGACTCTCCAATAATTCTCTAGAATTGACTAAGACTAAAACAAACCAATCAATTCCTAGTGTGGAACTGATTGATTCTTCAAGTTCACGTCATTCTCCAATAAAGCAGTATTACTCCTATCATGATGATCCAGAAGAATTGCCATTCATTAACGAAGTAAAGTTGATCAGCAGTGAGGACAGTTTCGGGGAATTGCCTGATTCGTTGCCTTCCTTTAACTCCAATAGCAATGTTCATAGACTGAGCAGTGTTATGAGCAAGCAATCCGTCCTAGGAACAAGAGCCAACTACAATAAGTTCTTAGCAAATGTTCAGAGTAATGATGCTGATTAAAGTCATTTCACGTTCCAAAAAATACGACTATTAATTGCCATTTTATAGCTTTTTTTTGTTATTTCACGATCTAATGCCCATGCTTATGTACAACTACTTCTTGTTTTCAATTTCCTATAGTCTATATACGTATATATTAGCACAATCATATATGAATCAGTAAGGTACTGAAAAATTATTGAAGTCGTGTGTGGCCACTCAATCGCTCTCTTCAAAACTGAAAATATGGATAAACAACCAAATAAATATAGGTAGGTTCAAGACACTAAGCAATGCCATTATTCAGGGAATCGAGTTTCCTAGTTGTCCATCCGGGGTCACAACATACCATATTTTCGTTTGGTTTACAGGATCCATTATCTCCCCCTCAATATAAGATTCCATCTGTAGTTTATCAGGATCCAAATACTAAAGAATATAAATCGAAGAAGAATGAAGGTGAAGAACTAATTGAAGTACATCCAATCAAAGAAAGCAGGATTGTCGATTTAGATGCGTTTAACTACTTATTAAAGATCATATTACAAAGTGTAATCACTAATAATCCTGTTATTACAATCAATCAAATTCCGTTACTACTTATAGCACCATCTTTGGCATGGTCAAGATCGAACATTGAATATGTGACAAAATACGTTATTGAATCTTTAGAATTCACGGCATTCAACGTTATAGACTTGTCGATTGCGTGTAATTTTGGCATGGGTTCGTCCTCTAGTTCTTGTGTTGTTAATATTGGCCACGAGTCGTGTCAGATAATGCCGGTTATTGGATATCAAAGTATTAAGTACGCAGGCATATATTTGAATGGAATTGGGGGTAAGACTATAAATGAGGAAGTACAGAAATTGTTACCTAACTTGACTGGTAAGCAAATTGAAGCCTTAAAAACATCAGGAATTTTTGAAGCTGTTAATGATCACGATTCCTCATTCTATTCTGTTGCTGATTTAAATACTATTGGTGAAAATAATGAAGATGATGAAGATTTTGATGTAGCAAAAATAGTTACCGAACAAAACGGTAACTTGCCGAAAAGCGAATCTGAAGCAAATCAAGGTGAAGAAGATAAGCAGGAAGAAAAATCGAATAGTGAGCTTGAAAAGAACTTCTTCTTGGATCCAGATACGAAAGAAAAAATATATGTGGGCAAAGAAAGATTTCAAGGAGTTTCCAAATTGGTCAATCGTGTAGCAGAAGCCATATATGAATCTCTATTATTAATACCTGATTTAGAGAAGAGACAAGAGTGCTATGATAACTTGATATTTGTTGGCTCTACCTTCAAAATTCCTGGTTTAAAGCAAGCATTGCTAATTAAGCTTACTGCTGATTACCTTGTTAGATCACCAGGTGAATCAACCGCGAACGATGAAACAACCGCTGTTAACTCGGCTATAGTCGCATATCAACAAGCAGAGGAACTTAATGAGTCAAACGGTGAATCGAATTTCATATTATCTCAGGTCCCAACCGCTATTAGAGCTGCAAAACATCCGGATTACTTTCCTGAATGGAAACAACCTAAAGAAAAAGGGGGTTCATGGGAAGATGTCTACTTTTTAGGTGCCGAAATATACGCTAAACAAATATTTGGTGGGAATTCGAACCAAGGTGGTGAATTATTTTTGGACGCCGATGGATATGAAGAGAAAGGACCTCAAGGTATTTGGGACGCAACTATCTAATTGTTTTTAAATAAAAGTTTATTTAGAGGGTCACTTTTTATTTATACTGTTTAATTATTTGTAAGTATAGGTTTTTAATATCATTTAGAAATTAGAATTGAATAGTTGATGTAGACTACTTTTTTTTGTACGCGAAATCTATACGCGTCAAAATTATACATTTAAGACCATAGTACGACGAACGTAGAGGTAATCAATAGTTCATGGTATTAAGGCATTGTATAAATCAATTAACTAGAACGACCAAGCTATCATCCAAATATTGTTTTTCAAAACCGATATTCTTAATGCCACAACAACAAAGTTTAGCTCGATTTTTCTCAGCATCAGGTAACTTACCTAAGGCCAAGCCAAGCGCTAACAAGACGAATATTTCAGAAGAAGGTAAGCCTTCAATTTCAGAAATAAAACGAAAGGCACCTTCTCTTCTTTCAGAATCTCCTGAAAAGAAAATTAAAGTAGAAGCTGCTGAAGACGGGGATACTGACCCTAGTGAAGTGAGTGAAGAGGATACAAAGGCACAAGAATTAAGTGACGCTTCCAAATTAATAAACTTGACAGAAAAGGAACAAGAGAAACACTCGTGTGCCGGGGCTTCGTCGAAGATTTATTATTCCGAATTAACTGAATTGTTTGAAAAAATTGAACAAGAATCGTCAAGATTAAAGATAACTGCACTTATTTCACAGTTCTATTATCAAATATTGGAGCATGCCTCATCAGACAAGTTAGTCAAAATCATTTATCTATGTATAAATAGATTAGGACCTGATTATGAGCCTGATCTTGAATTGGGTTTAGGTGAAACTTTACTTATAAAGGCAATAAGTGAGTGTTACGGAAGACCACCAAGCAAGATTAAGAAGGATTACCAAGAAGTGGGTGACCTAGGAATAGTTGCTCAAAAATCAAGATCTGGTCAACCTACTATGTTCAAGCCTACCAGATTAGATATAGTGACTGTTTTCGAAAACTTAACAAAGATTGCAAAATCTACTGGTAAAGACTCACAATCCAAAAAGATCTCAACAATTAACAAAATGTTAACCGCATGTGAAATGAAAAGCAATGAAGCAAAGTTCTTAATTCGGTCCTTGGAGGGTAAATTGAGAATAGGATTGGCAGAAAAAACAGTACTCATTGGTTTAGCTCAAGCCTTTGTTAACTATGAAAACAAAACTAATAAAAAAATATCCCCAGAGAAGTTGGCTCAAGCTGAAGACATAATTCGTGAAGCATTCTCAAGAATTCCTAACTATGAGATTATCATCAATAATGCCTATGAACACGGTATATTCAACTTGTTAGATTATTGTATATTGACCCCAGGTATTCCTTTAAAGCCGATGTTAGCCAAGCCAACGAAGTCTATTAGTGAAGTATTAGATAGGTTTCAAGGAGAAGAATTTACTTGTGAATATAAATACGATGGTGAAAGAGCCCAAGTTCACTTGTTACCAACAGGTGAAGTTAGGATCTATTCTAGAAATTCTGAAGATATGTCTCAAAGATATCCAGATTTGATTTCTATTATCAAAGACTTTCTCAAAACTCAAGAGATTTCTGGTAACCACTCGATGGTACTAGATTGTGAAGCTGTAGCGTGGGACAGAGAAACAAATAAAATTTTACCCTTCCAAGTTTTATCTACTAGGAAGCGTAAAGATGTTGATGAAAAAGATATTAAAGTACATATTTGTCTATTCGCATTTGACCTCTTGTATTATAATGATCAACCTTTGATTACAACGTCTTTAGCCGAAAGACGTAAAGTTATGTTTGAAAATTTGCGACCAATTGAAGGAAAGTTTCAATTTGCAACTTTCAGAAATACATCAAATTTGGATGAATTACAGCATTTTTTGGATCAATCAGTAAAGGATTCATGCGAAGGACTAATGGTGAAGATGATGAATGGAACGGATTCCTACTACGAGCCTTCAAAGAGGTCGAGAAATTGGTTGAAGTTAAAGAAAGATTACTTAGCGGGAGTTGGTGATTCATTAGACTTAGTAGTTATAGGTGCATACATTGGTAAAGGGAAAAGAACAGGCTCATATGGTGGATTTTTATTGGCTTCCTATAATCAGGATAGTGGTGAATACGAGACAACTTGTAAGATAGGTACCGGGTTTTCGGACGAAGACTTGGTATCTATCCATGCCAAATTAAAACCTACTGAAATACAAAAACCTAAACCATATTATGTATATGATACAACCAATTCTAACGCTGTACCAGATGTTTGGTTTGAACCGACGACAATATTCGAAGTTTTGACAGCTGATTTATCCCTAAGTCCAATATATAAGGCTGCACATCAGCAGTATGGCAAAGGTATATCCTTGAGATTTCCTAGATTCTTAAGAATTCGAGATGACAAGGGAATAGAAGATGCTACTAGTTCTACTGAAGTTTCAGAATTCTACGAGCGTCAAGCCAATGTAAACTGAAGAAATAAATATTAATT